TTTATAACGGGGGATCGGTTTAGTCTGCATATGTAGCCAACATCTTTCTTCACGTCCGCGAAATAACGCCAATCACTGGAAGAAGACAGCGAGCTTCTTTCAGTTTCGCCGGAGGATTCCGTCGAAACTTCGAACTCGCAGCCGTTGTTTCGCAGCCGCGAGCAAAGCGATAAAATGTCTCGAAGTGTTCTCTCTCCGCCCTTCCTTCCCCCCTCCCCGTCTCTCATTAATGCAACGTCTTTCTTTCTTCTCTCTCTCTCTCCTTCTCCCTCTCTCTCTCTCTCCCCCCTCTCTCTCTCTCTCTCTCTCTCTCTCTCTCTCTGCCTCCCTCTCTCTTTCTCTCTCTCTCTCTCTCTCTCTCTCTCTCTCTCTCTCTCTCTCTCGGACATGACAGGATCCGTAAGCTATTCCTGGGGCCTGGATGGTCTCGACCGGTGGAAACGAAATACGCGCTCGTTCTCGGCGAGTCGCGGAAAGGTGACAGGTGCCGAGTGCTTCTATAAATTGCGATCCTGTGGAAAGAGAAGGCGAAGAAACGAAGAAGGTCAGCGAAGGAGAAGGAGAAACCGCGAAGTGACCCCTAGATGCTATCTTTAGCTGTTTTGTGGGCCCTAACAGCGCTCCCTTCGGCACACGTGCGATGGCAAAAACGGTTTCGGTTCTGCATTCGCGCGAACGTTCATGCTCGCCGCTCGTCCTCGGCAGTCTTCGGACTTGAAGAGTCCGGAGGAAAAAGGCGCGCGTTTTCCCTACAGGACTTTTCGATGGGCGATTCCGAGAGAAGTTTCATTTTTTTATTTTTATGTTTTTATCAGAGAAATAGAGAAGCGGCGGGGAGGGGGTCGACCGAGGATCGTACAAGACTGATTTGCGTGAGGAAGCACGCAGACCCGAACAATATAACAATGGCGCGGAGAGCTCATTGGTCGAGACGAACCGATACCCGCTCGCGAAGGTCGCGAAGGTCTTCGGTCACGCTGGAATCTCGCGACTCAATGGATTCTTGTTGGCACCGGCGACCAGGTTGGAATCACGCAAGTATATCGATTATGAATGAGCCTCCAGGTCCATTCAGCTTGAACGTGACCCAGCGTCCCAGCCTTGGTCCATCCTCGGCTCGTCTACCGAAGCCCGGTCACTTTCATTCTGCGACACTCGCCGCCTGTTCTCAAGCCGCTGTCGTGACTCCGCAGCATCATGCACGATGAACAACAGCTTACAGCGTGGGGAAATTTCGGGGAAAATCAGTTTGAAATTTCAAATTTTAATAATGCGATGAAAACAACGGTGAATTATATCTTGTTGTTTACGACGTTTGTTACGTTAATTTATTACGTTAATATTACGGTCGTTTATGATACTTGAAATAAATCGATCCGTGGACCAAAGGTTCTTCACGAAGCTCACGCGAGTGTAACATGAAGGCGAACGCGATAATAACAGAGACGTCGCGTCGCGTCGCAAGGCGCCCTCAACAGATATCTACACGCCATCGAATTGACACATCGACAAATGCTGGCATGAATATCGCCTCGCTGTATCTATAACTTGCATTCGCCTCTTTGGAGAACCTCATCTTTTTCCATCTGCCGTCTCCAATATTCTCGAAATATTTTCGACCGATTTCGAACGCCTTTCCCTGCGGCTTTGATTTTAGCCTTGAGTGAGGGAGGGGCAATTATACAATGAGAATCGCTTTCCCGACCACGAGCGATCACGAGCGCGAAGACGAGACTCGCCGAGGGATTTCTCGCAGAGTCCCGATCGCGACCTAAGCGCACTATTTGCTCTCATTGCTTCTGGCAGGAGAGGTGCGCGCGAAGATTAACATCACGCGCTGCGGATATCCAACCGTGCGTGGAGCACCGTCCATCGCAGTCCGGTAGATCCCTTTGCTTCCGCACCCCCTTCGGCAACTCTCGCGCGACTCTGACGACCGTAACTATTTCCAGACACGTTTAATTAATCTTGAACCAAAAACGTCGAGTGGGGAAAATGGCGAACGGACGGACGGACGGTCGGTCGGTCGGTCTGCCGGCCGGCCGGTTAGAAGCTCAGGCACCGGCTAGTCGGCCACCTGGCAGAAATAGCAGCCATGAAAACGGCTCTGCCGACTCTTGACGTTTCCTCCGCTTGCGAGAGAGCAAAGAGACAGGCAAGCTCAGAGACGGTGACGCGGGCGGAGGGAGGGGCAAACGAGAGCAACGGAGAAATAAACGGGATGGTAGTGGACTTGGTGGCACCTGCCGAGTCAGCGTCTCTTGTCAGCGACGTTCTCGGCTTCTTCGAGAGCAGGGCAAGTCCAATTCCGATCGATTCATTGATCGCTCCGTTTTTCATGTACATTGCGTACATTGGTATCACGATGGTATCACGACGATATCATGAATATAATATTCAAGTTGTGCGGTGTACAGCGGTTGCGAAGCAGAGAGAGCTAATCCCTAGGTTAATCTCGAAAAAGAAATGATACTTCGAGATACACACGAAGACACGAAAGGGACAAATGACGAAGTGAGCTGCTCGGTATCGTGTCATTTTTAGATCATCATTGTCTGCATTCAGATATACGTGTATGATGATGTCGAACATTGAAAAGTCGTTGAAATAATGGCCTTTCTTGATATTGTCACTAAAATCAAAAAATTCTTATGAAAAATAGCATTATATGAATAACGCGAATTACGGGACATGTTATATTTCTTTGAAATTATCGAACGAAATGATGCGCGCGAGACGAGGAGAAGATCGAGAAGAGACATTTTCTTGCCGCGGTCAGTAGGAGGGATTTTTCAATGCGGGCGCTTGCCAGATAGAGGCGAGAGTTGCGAGAGAGAGAGAGAGAGAGAGAGAGAGAGAGAGAGAGAGAGAGAGAGAGAGAGGGAGGGAGAGAGAGAGAGAGAGAGAGAGAATCCCTTTTTAATTCGTCGGGTCAACGGATATCCGTAAACGCGGGTTCCGTAAGCGCGCGGCCGCTAATAATAAACCCCGTGTGTCTCGTATATCCCACCGGCCAGATTTATATATTTCGCGGTGCCGGAAACCGATTCCGAAATATCCCGTGCGAGACCGCGGAAGCATTAAAAGAATAATCCGCCGGTCCACTCTTGGACACGGCGGGCGGACAGATGTAGTAGAGGTGTAACACGCAAATGAGCGTACCGAGTAGCGACGCGCGGCGTCGAAATCGCCGCCCACGAGGGATGCGTCGCGTGCCAAAAACACGGAGGATCGCTTTCGCGACAAACGTTGCTGCGGCGCTTCACGCGGCCGCTTTTCCCGCGGATAGACTAAAACAGTAGCTCGTCACGAGAAAACAATTGTTTATTCCATCGCAGATGAAAGAATTCAGATTCAAGTGAATATGTTATTAGTATTGTCTACCAAGTAAATATTTTTGATCTTTCTCGATATCTTTCCCTCTCAGTGTTTGTGAATAAAAAAAATACCCGAACTCGAGCGTCTCGGCTGTCGTTCCATTTTTCGAGTGGAATTACCGTATTGAGGATAAAGATAACGAACGGCGCAACGAGATGTAATATTTTAAAGAGATTAAATGCTCCCAAGACCGTGTGATAAGGTGAACCAAAGTTCTCCCGAAGCATTAGAGACAAATCTACAGAAACCACGAGCTCCAACCCGGAAGCTAAATTGAACATTTCCAGGACAATTCTCACTTCACACGCACGCACACACACCTCCGTCTCCGGCGCCTGATAATTCGCGTTCTGATCGAAGATAGACGAGCTCTACGAGCGCGTCACGAGAAAGCTAAATGCATTTTGATTCCATCTAAATTTAATTTAATTTCAGTCAAATCGTGCGCACCAATTAAAACTCGATACCGAAGGTAACGGTTGAGTCGCCGCGTCACGATATCGTCACTCAAGCTGCCACGTCAAAGAGCACGAGACGCAACGAGGCTGGCAATTTCTAACGCCCGACGCTGCGTATCGGCTGACTTGCAATTAATCTATAATCTAATTTCTTGCCGAGACGTTTAATACAGTGCAGAGAACGAGGCTAATACGAATCTGCCACCCTGCCGGCGTATATTTTATATTTTATCGAGGACAAATCACACCGATTTGCTGCATCGTTGCATGCGATTTTGATTGCTTTCGAACTTTTCTCGCTAGAAACGAGATTGTAAACGATTCCCGTGCTGAAATATATCATATGGGGGGCTTCGGTTGCGACAAAAAGGGAAACAAAAAAAAGGAAAAATTATTAACGTTTAAGAAGAGAGGGGAGGGGAGAGAGAGAGAGAGAGAGAGAGAGAGAGAGAGAGAGAGAGAGAGAGAGAGAGGGAGAGACGCGCATTATGTCCGGGATCATTTAATCTCGCGTGAGTGGCGTGCATCGAGATAAGCCGTTTCGGAGCGCGAGACGATAAGAATGACCGATAAGAACGCCAGCGGCCGTTTCCCTACAGGATAGTTATCCGCGCGGTCGCTTTCAATAAAGCCGTTCACCATGAGATTTCGTATCGACTCGATCATCAGGACATCGCTGTCCTTCGCGGGTCCCAATCGCGACGATCAGCGGCCGCTCGCGAGCGCGATTTCCTCCGGCTGACTCGCGAAGTGAGTTTTGCGCGTAACAATTGACGCGTCGTCGTGAAGTCGAGACAGAGACTCGAGAATGATAATCTGTATGACATCAAATATTACAAATGTACGAAGAAACCGCCATAACTTGTTAATATTCGAACAGGCAATCCCGAGGTCTTTTGACCGAGGCTTTTGAGTTAAGCGTGAGAATTGCGAGAAAAAAACTGCTTATCCAATTCCAATGGAAATTACGAATTTTGCTGTTGAGAGTAATCGACTTGAATTTTCGATTCGATTGTTCACAAGGACGGGTCTGTCACATATCGCGGCGAGTCACACAGATCAAAGCGTATTCGCCGATCGCGGTGAAACGCTGGCAAGCCCCGAGAGAAAATTGTCGATTTCATCCGGAGAAGCGTACAGCACGATGCGCTCAAAGTGTCTTTGATGTCACACGTGGAGAACGCGGAGCGCAAGAATGGCAGCGGACGTACGAACGACGTAGGTAGGTTGGCGTAGTTTCTCGCGTATCCTCGCGCGGATCAACGTTTGACACTTACGAGGTTATTACACCTCCAACGTAATATTTGGGGTAATGTTTGCTAGCAGCGGACGCGCTAGATAAATCCGTCGCCGGAGCGAGATCGGAGAGACCCATCGTCGACGACGAGGGAACCGAGGTGGAGAATAAAACGACGAGTGAAGTGCTCGGTGCTACGTCGAGGCTAGATACGGACAGAAATACCGAGATATACATCGATACAAAAGCGCGGAAGAACGGTATAACAAACTATTCTTGATTTCTCCTCGTGTAGGAAGAAGCAGGAAAAATATTTCCCCCGAAATCATTGAACGCGAGTATTCGGCGAATTGCAGCTGACTGCAGGATATTCGTGCTGAATTTTTAATAATAATATCTGGCAATATTTACCTTTCAAACCCTTAAGGGGACCAGGAAGGTTTCAACGGCCGAAAACTAGGTGAGATTTGAATGACGGTTGTGGACAAACGAATAAATAATACACAAAATTTCTTTTTTGCAAGTTTTTTAATGCATCCTTGATAAACAAAACAAGCTTTAAAATTTCCAAAAATATTAGCAATGAAGGGAAATATTTGTATATGTTACCGGCCAAACCCGGTAATCAAGATAAACTAGTTTCGCCTAGGCCAAACTGCAGTACATCCAAAGTGCAGTAGGATGCATCAGTTTTGCCTAGTCCAAACTAGATTCTCCTAAGCACACTAGGATGAATCAGTTCGATCTAGTCTCATCAGCTGAGAGACAGTATTTTATATTTTTTTATTGTCCACAACAAGCTTTTTTATACCCCCGATTTCCGAAGACATTAAATCGTTTTAACCTTCTTCGCTGGAGGGGTGTCTTTTTTCTAATTTTGTCTTTAAGTTGTCCTTAGTAAGCATATTATTATAAAATGAGTGGATTTTTTATTATAGTTTCATATTTTAAAATATCTGCCAAGAATCTCTCTCTCTCCATTCCCTTCGATGACTTTGTCCAATAATTGAAGCCTCTTCCATAGCAGCAAGAAACTCAAAAGTACAAACATGCACCGCACTATCAAACTAATTTGGACTAGGCCGAACTGATTCATCCTAGTATGCTTAGGAGAATCTAGTTTGGACTAGGCAAAACTAATACATCCTATTGGATACATCCACTTTGGATGAACTAGTTTGGCCTAGGCGAAACTAGTTTATCCCGAAATCGGGTTTGGCCGGTAACATATATGAAGGCAACCGTGTGACTCGCGCACTGCTTCCTTCTTGCCGCGATTCCGGGTTAACGAATTGGAATTTTTCGATTTTCTTTGCGTCATTTTGTTGGTGAGATCTTTCTCTATAGACAACCTAAATTCTGTAAAAAAAAAAAAACGTCAAAATCAGAGCGATGGCGGCCAGAAAATAAAAAATGTCGAAAAATTCAAGATATTTGTTGCTAAAACGGTATTAAAAAATTAACTTTTATATGTAGACATGGGTTCAGTTTATGTAATACGTCTTTATCTCTAATTAAAAAAAAAAAACCGAAGTCGATATCTTCAGACTTTCTTGAGTTATCGCGGCAAAACTAGCGGAAACTGTTGTTTCGAGGCAAAACCAGTTATAGTTTGGCAACATAATTACGGCTAGAAAATTGACACGAAGCTCAAAATTGCCTGTGCTGTAAAATGACTTTTCGAGCTCAGCTTCCATCTAAGTAACAATCGCAGAATGTCGATTTCTGTCCTAATCTCTTCTGTTGACGCCAGTGATTTTCTGTCTATCTCCAACAAGCATTCCTTATCACGCATCTGGCGCTCCGCGGCCGTGAGCGGCCTTACATTTTTGACTCTCTTGAATTCAATTTTGCGAATATCAAAATTTTTTTTTTACGCCTAAATGTTCTTAAAAGATTGTATTAACCGATTATGTAAAAAGCGAAAATTCGATTTTTAAGAAATTTCAAACCTTTCTGATCCTCTTAAAGTGTTATCACGGCACGGAAAGTAAATGCTGAGAAATATTATTAGAAAATTCAGCACGTGTATCTAGCAGTCAACTATGATCGTTTAGATATTGGAGTTCTAATCTGACACTTGGTGCCAAGATAGTAGCATTAATCAAGCGAGTACAATAATTTTAGATGCACGCGTTTCTTTCGGCGACATTTGCCGAATCTGCCACATGGGCGGGCACGGCTCGATTGCGGAGAATCATTCGTTCACACGAGAGTCGCGAAATCAGGGCGAATGGACGTCGACGCCGTCAAACCTCATCTACCTCAGTCCTCTTATTTCAGCGTGCAAGTAAGCCCTCGAGCCGTTACGAAAAAGTAGGGATAAATAATAGGGAAAAAAGTCGAATAAGATGAACGAATGAGGCTTACTTGAATCTCGCGCGAACGCGCACATTCTGCGCAACAACTGTAATTCTCGATCGAGGAAACGGCCGTTCGTCGATTTCCTCGAGGTTCTTTGCGACGTAACGGAACGCAAATGAGCCACGCTCCAAAGAGTAAAATGTAACGAGAGTAGATCGCGTGTGTTCCACCGCGTATCGTCCGACTTTATGCGCCCGAGGTGCTTTTCCGCGTATTTCTTCGCGAAAAAATCGCGCATAAGGAGGAGAAGGAGGAAGAGAGAACGCGCGAAGAGGCGCATCGTCTGAATTTCGCCGCGGGATGATGGACATCACAGTTTAGACGTGTAAGATCGTCGGGTTGCCGCGAATCGTAATCAGAGATTGCGTATTTTTTTGTTAACGTTAGATAAGTTATGTTACCTTTAGAGTCGATCATTAGTAGCGACGGCCGTGAAGGAAGCCATTCGTGCACTTTTTACATTTCTTGGAATGTAATTTCACTCGAAAGGCAGAGAGAGAGAGAGAGAGAGAGAGAGAGAGAGAGAGAGAGAGAGAGAGAGAGAGAGAGAGAGAGAGAGAGAGAGAGAGAGAGAGAGAGAGAGCGCTCGAATGTCAAGTATTTTCGTTACCGTTTCGAGCAAAAATAGAGAAATTTAGAGAGCACCACATGTTCTCACAGATTTGAAAAATTTTCATCCAAATGCGATACACTCTGCCTTCCGGAAATGAATAATAATATCAGTAACTCGCGCATCATTAGCGAAACGGGAGGAACGAGGGTCAACAAAAGGCCCGAGTGAGTAAACTTTACACGATTACGCCGCTATCGCGGCGAGATTAAATCGCGGTTGCGATTACGGCATTTGCACTCTCGTCGTCCCTCTTTCCTTAGCACCGCGCATATATCCCTTTTTAACGACGTGACAGGTGCCGAGGCACAGTGGCTTTGGTGCACGTCGAGTGTCTCGAGAGATGGTTAACTGAGTCTGGTCGCGCAAGATGTGAACTCTGCGGTTACAAGTACGCGACGAAGAGGGTGCCGCGTTACGGCCTCTTTCGTAGCGTCGCGATATGGTTCCACACTGTGATAGCCACCCGACAGGTGAGACGACAGTTCGTCAAAGTACAGTATTTCTCAGTAAGTCACTTAATATCTTCCAATAATGTCCTTGGTACGTTTTTCAAATGTAAGTAGAACATCCAAATTCCCTCTTGAAAGTTATTAACATGGCCGAAGCAACGACGAGATAGATCGACTATATAATCTTGATACATAAGCTCCGCAACGCAAGATTAAAATTATGTTACAAGCTGTACACGTAATTTTTACGAGCTATGCCGTTCTGTGTCTAATTAGCCTCTTAATTACTATTAACATTGCATCTTAATTGACATTAACTAATCGCAATTACCATTCACATCGATTTAATATGTTGTTCTCTTCCGCGAGATGTTACTCGACATCGGGTATCTGGTGATGACCACGCCCGTGGCCGCGTTTTCTTGCTACGTGTGCACCCTGACCTTGAAAATGTTGCTGCGAAACGGCTTTTACGAGATACCGTGGACGATAATCGCCATGCTGCCAACCTGCTTATTGACGCTGATAGCTTATTGGCGATGGATAATTACGTTAGGGAGGTACGCCCGTTAAGAAATAAAAAAAGAAAAGGAAAGAAAGAAAAAAGGTAGAAGAGCGGGAGGAGAAAAAAGTTTAAACCAGCTCGCCGCTCGTGCGCTGCGTTCACCGTAAAAACGCGATCGTTAATGGCAAACGGGTTAATTAAGATATCGCGCATCACGAAGAGTGCGCGCACGCTCGCGATTGCGCTATATTTAAAAAATTTGGCGAACCATGAGAAACGGCGGCAGTGCATGTACCGAATCGCTTGTACTTATCGAAAAAACGATTAGGGGCGCATTTAACCGCGTATTGTTGTAAGCTGTTCTGGAACATTATTATCGTGAGTAAATTTCATCGAGTCTCTCCCAGTTTCTAAGAAGGCAAATTTTTCACCGTTTCAACATTTTCTTCTTTCAAGTGCCGCTTTTTAAGTTCTTTTAAGTTCTCGGAAGTTCTCTAAATTTTAACTTTTTCTTTTAAATTATAATCTCTCTATAGATCATCTCCCTAAATTTGTAATTTAGTATTTATAATTTATCTAGAATTTTTAAATCTATGCATTATAGGGAAAAATGACTCGAACAAAAGTTTTAGGGTTCATAAAGTTCTGTTTTTTTCTGTGACCTCAAATTTGATTTTGACTTCGAGCTTGAAGGTCATTTGAAGGTTAACTTGCGTTATTTAAATGGGAACTCCTATTTTTTATTACATATGTTTTTTTTCTACCAATTAATTTGAACAACTGTTGTCTAAAACATTTTTTCATTTGCCTAATATTTTTTTAGATATTTGAGGAAAACTTGATAATTTTTTCAATATTTAACTTACGACTTAGGATAGTATCTCGCTAACTATTTGTCGGAAGAAAAAGTGGTACTAGACTTTCTTGCTTTATTTAATCTCAGGAACATATTGTTACAATAGCGCCCTGACTTTTGTTAACTTACTGACTTTTGGAAATTTCAAAATTATCAAATTAACAAAAATCAGGGCACTATTGTAACAATATATTCTTGAGACTAAATAAAGCAAGAAAATCTAGTACCATTTTTTCTTCCGACAAATAATTAACGAGATATCGTAAGTTAAATATTGAAAAAGTTATCAAGTTTTCCTCAAATATCTAAAAAAATATTAGGCAAATAAGAAAATGTTTTAGACAAAAGTTATTCAAATTAATTGATGAAAGAAAACAGTATAATAAAAAATAGGGGTTCCCGTTTAAAAAACGCAAGTTGATGATCTTCAAAAGACCCTCAAGGTCGAGATCAAATTTGAGGTCACAAAAAGAAGCAGAACTTTATGAACCCCAAAGCTTTTGTTCGGGTCATTTTCCCCTATAACGCATAGATTCTGAGATCGGGGAGAAGGGGAGGTCCGTTACTTTTGAAAAACTTGGTATAATATAGAGAAATGATGTTTCCTTCGATTATAATTTCTCTTCGAAATTCACTAATTCTTTTTAATTCTATTGCGTGACAATAATATCTTAGAATTGAAATATTTCACTGTGGGTATTAAAAATATAATCACGGAAATATATTTTTTTCTATTTTCTATCGCAGATTGCATGGCTATCGATGGAGACGTTATTGGAGGAATAACTTTGTAATTCGTTTGATTCCGAATAACGTGGACAATTCCGATTCGTGGACGATTCCGAACGAGGGCAACGCGACAGATCATCAATCAATGGAGTATGCCGATGCGCAAGATTTCGAGCAGTGGATGCTCGAGGAGATCGAGGAGTTCGCGTGACCCTTGAACTGCGCAACGACCTCGATTAATCGCGACAATCATTTTTTATCTTCATTCGAATATGCCGTCGCCGCTGCCGCTCGACGATACTCTTATACAGCTGCGCGATATTTAATTGCATTTTATTAATGCGAACACTTCAATTGAAGCCCATTGTCGCGTAATGAAGCCGATTCGTCGCAGCATCAAAGTCAAATCGAGACGTACACGGCTCGCATTTCCGCGTCTGATCTCGCCCGGATTTAATATTGTTATTTGAATTTTGTTTAGGTCTTTTCTCACCACGATTGTAAAACTAGATGAACACAATTGCGAAATAAACAATTTGATATATATACCTGAAAATATATGATACATCAGAGTCAAAGTTCCAACATTCTGAATCCTTCATCCTGCCTTCTGGACCCAGCATTCTAGTTTAGACTGGCAATGACACCGACACGATTCGAAACGCGATGCCGACGAAATATTTGAACGATTTGATCGATTAGATATTTTAATCGAGCCAACGGGAACGATATAATTAAGCGCGCCGTTATATATGCCCTGTGTCACTTGTTGCTTCGAGACATAAATTAACTTGGTTACGGATGTGACGTACGAAAATACCAAAACAATGGGCAAGAAAGGGCTGTACACCATCCATCACTAATCAACAACAGTTGTCTACTACTGAGCGCTTGAGAAATTACAACAATCTCGACATTTTCCGCTGAGTTCTGAGCTCCGTTCTGAGGACTTTTTCAAATTATCAGGACCGTGACGCATATGGTATGTACTTATCAGGAAAATGGCCTAGTTAAGATTTAAAATTTACTGTATGCGTCGCGCAGGAGCTGATTCATGCTTTTTTCATTTCACGATTTCTCTCTTCCTCTTCATCTCTTTGAAATTTCCAATGCCAATAAAATAAATATTTTAATAAATATTTATTATCCAGCATTATCTCACTATTTAGCTACGTTGATTATTTAATATTTACTTATTGCACATATTTCACCTGTGGTTAAGAAAGCTACACAAATATATTGTTTACTGGAATTGAGAATAAAAGTTAAACGCAAAGGAAATATTGAAATAATCGAACATTGAGTAACATCGAATGTTTTCTACAAATTTTTCGACCGCCCTCATCTTCGTGAAATATTCAAACAAACAAAATGGTCTCGTCGCGGTGAATCGCCTCGAATCAAGATCTAAAATCGCTTTTCTGGGTCCTCGCGTGGGCGACGTATCCGACGATTAAGGCGAAGGGATGCGCAGTTCAACAACAAAATGAGAGATCTCGAAACGTCGGTTGCGCGATCGGTGTCGCCGCTGTTCGATCTCGAATTCATCGACTATAACGAGTCGGCACTTCCGCTCGTCGGTGTCATTGAGTCGAGCGATTTAATTAAGCGCGATGTTCAAGCGCGACCGATAATCTCATTACCTTCGCCACTTCTTTCACTTCCGGTGCACGTATCGCGGAACAACTTACCGCGCGCTGCGCAGAATTTTTTCTCTTTTGCTCGCGAAGATTGGAATTCCAGCGGTCGCGCGACGCATCGATTACCACGATTAACTCGATGGCTCGGCGATTTATGGCCGATAATGGAGAGCGTCTACCGTAACGAGATGATTTCAGCTAAGTGATTCTGGTTGAACTCGATGACTCGCTGCGGGAACCGCGGGAAACTACCAATAAAAGCTGTGACACGTCGTTCTTATTAACGCGCGCGCACACACACACACACGTACGTATAGGATGCACATCGCGGCGTCGCGTCGATTCCAATCAATGTCGCGCGCGTACGATCATGAGAATCGCTGCGCGGATCCCTCACGCGGACGACCTGCATGTAGTTTACATTTTAATGCGTGATAATGACCGGCATGCATCACTCGTATCGTCCGCCATGCGTCGTAGTTGATTCATGAAACGTAATAATTACGATCCGACCGAGAAGCTTCGCGCCGATCTCTCGCCGAGATCGCTGAAATTCTCGTGTGCGCACCGAGTCAGGCGTGAATTCCGTCGCCGTCCAGCCGGAAGTGTCTCACCTGTTTTCCCTGCGGATCTGCCGAAAATTGCTTTATCAAAATCGACGTATTTCTCTCTCTCTCTCTCTCTCTCTCTCTCTCTCTCTCTCTCTCTCTCTCTCTCTCTCTCTCTCTCTCTCATTCGTATGGCGCGAAAGTCTGGCGTAAAATATTCTGAAACAGATTTGGTTAACAGAATATTTATATAAAGCAAAATTTCACTCGTTTTATAAATTATCGGATTAAATTACGAATTATTGAATGGAAAATGATTTGCTGAATGAAAATCTCGTTGTGCGTAATCTTTACCGTTTTTCCTCTACTCGTCTGGTTTCTTTTCTCTTTAATCTTTCGTAATTGCTATTATTTTTATTTCAATCCTCGTTCGATCGTTCGCCCGGCTGGAAAACAGAACTCGGAACTTGGAGTCTGCTCGTCGGCGCGTCGAGGAAGAAATGAATCTTACACGGTCGCATCCGGTTCTTCCAGATTCTACGCGACGGTGCGCGCGCGCGCGGAACCCTTCTTCCTCGCTCTGCGCTCCTAGACGCAGCGAGGGAATAGAAAAAAAGGGGGAGAGAAGAAGAACCGAAAAGGATACCGCCCCGGAGTACGAACGGGCGTTACGGCGGAATCCTTTCCTCCGTTCAGTCGCGCGACAAAAAGTAATATTTATGCGGCGGATATTTGTCTCGCTGACAGACGTTCCTCACTACGGCTGGATTTAGTGTGGACCTGTAGTCCTTAAATCTTTTGATCCACGCGCGGGACAGGCGCGAGTCTCGGCCGTGACGAAAGCATTGGACGCGCGGAGAAAGATATCGACGAAGACTCTGACACGAAACAAGGTGCGATGATTGTGAAATGTCGGCGGGAGAATGAAATTCTCTTTGATTGAATGCCATATACGAGTGTATATACTCTCGTTATCGTTGATTTCTTGACACTAAGTAGGGTAGTAGGGTTACCGGAAATGTAACCGTGGAAAAAAGGCGTTGACGGGATAATCAAGATGCGCCTTGCGGCCTCGGAGAACATTATCAGGGACATAAATCGGTACTCGCAAGATTTACGGTAGATTCTAAATTTCAACTCGGAAACGTTTCGCCGAAAGGGTCGGACAATTAGCGCGCGTTGTCGATGTTCGACTTGGCGTCTCCATTTTCGTTCTTTATCACGACGGATAATTAAGTTTATGAATAATAAGAGGCGAAAGCAAGGGAGGACGGGTAAATCGACTGGGACGACTCGAGCAGAGCGCGAGTCTATCCGTTCTATCCGCGAACGAATTTATCGGTTCTCCTTGCGGCGAACAAATTACCGGCGTCGAGGTAGCTTCGGCGCACTCGCGAATCGTTTACGGTTCAATCAGCGTTTACGGCTCCTTAAATCAGACTTGAACTCCTCTTAATTGCGATCTACGTCGCCTCGGGCCAAAGGGCCTTTCTCGTTAGCACGCCGTTGTGAGACGTCATAAGACACACCGAGAGAGCGTCGGGATGCGACGCTCGAGGATTTGCTTAATAATTGCGCTATTCCGCTCGAGCGAGATTTCGCTCGTGGATTAATCGACGGCAAAAGGGAATGCGCGACGTGTAATACGTCCGGTAGAGATATCAGTTCTACAAGTAGCAAATTGCGTTTTCTGCGCCATTTAAGAGGCGCTGAGTAGGGCTCTAGTTTCCACGTCAATTAAATCTTCATTGATTCTCTGCGGAAGCTATAGATATTAACCCCTCAACTGCCAATGACAAAGATCTTTGTCATTTTGGACTTTTCACAGACTGCCAGAGAAAGGCAGAATATTTGAGAATATCAGCGCCCAAGAGCCAAAAGTACTTTAGATGACAAAGAAATGTGCTTTTATATGAGTTTCCGTGTGTGCTAAGCATGAGATCCTGTCACTGGTTTTGTAAAATTCTGCTTCTAGAAAAAGATATCGCGACTAGAATAAAGCCATTTTTTCGACTTTTTGAAAATCTTTGTCATAGTGTATTGAGCTATGTCGGAGACTACAAGTGCTTTGAATAATAAACTAACGTATTTTTATTATATTTTTGGGAACGCTGAACATGATCCTTTGTCATTTTTAACAAATTTTACTTCTGACGACTGAATCAGTACATGATACGTATATGACGACCAATGACATACATATACACACACATAATACAGGGAGATCAATGTTCTTTGGAAAATAAAAGTATTTATATTTTTCGGAATACTAAAGCCGGCATTTTGAAATTCGCTATTTGAATGAGAAATTCATAAACACCTGGAGAGACTCCTGCATACCTTGATAATTTCACATTATTTTGTGATGATATTTTCAAAATGATATTTTCTATTTACTCTGCTGTACTGAAGTCACTATTCTGAATTTCGGTAGCTTCATAGGAAATTCGTAATCAGCATTCCTAAAAACTTCCGTATGTAAGGTTTCAGCTACTTTCAATTAGTGATTGTTGAAAAATATGCGAATTTCCTATTTTCTTTGTCATATTGAAGCCGCCATTTTGAATTTTGATATTTTCATAGAAAATTCGCATTCAGCATTCCTCAAAACTCACAGATGCAAGGTTTCAACAATTTTCGATAACTTTTCATTTCTGGCAGTCTGGACGATTTTTCTTAAAATGTGCTGGCAGTTAAGGGGTTAAGCAGTTTAGATATCGAAAGTAGAGGCGAAATTTCAACTCGAGATCTCTCTCGCGCGCTGCAACGCGAGTCGAGCTAAACTTTCGTTTATAACGGCAATATTCGCAAACAACCGACAAAGAGCAGCTATTCGCGTAGCGACCACCGAGTGATTTGGCCGGCACGAGCCAATATAGACCCCCTCCTCTCAGCCTCGTCAATTTTATATAATTAGGTAACTAATCTCGCGTATTCAGGCACTCTTGGGTTTGTTGGGAAGCGAGCGCATTGTTAACGTAATTACGCGGCGGATACAATGTTGAAAGTGCGACCAACGCCGCCGTTGTCGCCACGCCTCGTCTCCCGTCGTTTTACACGATGAGACGCGGGTGCGTCTCCGCATCCGAGAGCACATGCGAGCGTTGTTACGCCACGCGATCAAATTCACTTGCGCTTCAGTAATTACGACTGACGTTTCACACTTCCGTAGGTATTTATATTTATCTGTCGATCAGCCGTGTTAGTGTGCGCGCGCGCGCAACAGTCGAAGCTTTCTCGATCGGATTTCTCACCGAGCCAAACTTTTTATCCCGCTTTTAACCTTATAATCACACTTAACGCTAATATAATTTTAATTCTATTTTCTGCGAGCGAGAGTATCTCAGTTTCAGATAGT